GGGAAATCTGGGCCTTGGGTGTCAGAGAGGGAGGATAATCAAACAAGAGCTTAGCTGTACTCTTGCATATGTGAAGTTATGGAGCCCCCTGCCTGCTGTCCAGGAGGGTGGGCGATGCTTTTTAGCACCAAAGGAAAAGGTGGTAGAGAAAGATGGCCTTCTAGTATCTCAGACACCTTGTTGTTGTGGTCCAGAGTTCTAACAGACTCTGATGAATTTTCTGGAGGTTTTCTTTTTTCATTCCTTTTTTCTTTTTTTTGCGGGGGGGGTAGGTGACCTAGAAAAGTAGTTTAACATACCTATATGAAGGCAGAGGGATGAAGGGAAAAGTCATTCTGAATAGCAGGATATTATTTAGATTAGCAATGAACAAGGGCCAACAAAAAAAGCACTCCCATGAATATGAGGGGAAGGAGTTAATTTTTTTTTAATGGTAGAAATTTTTCATTCTAGAATTCTATACTCATTCAAATTACTACAAGAGCAAATAAAGATATTTTCAGATCAGCAGATCTGAAAGGTCTGCATCTGAAGGATGCAGAACTACAGAACAGAGGAGTTAATTTTGATGGCAAAACAAAATGTATAAGAAGTGGGCACGTCAACAAAACACTGTGAAAAAGGAACTTAATAAAGATCTTCCATAACAAATAAAGATGACTTGTTGAGAAAAGTCCAGAAAAGTTAACTGAATACATGAGATGGGACCTCATAGAATGGAAATTGAAGTAGAAATGTGCCTTAAATGCACCAGGAGTAAGGGAAGGGTATATTTTTAAAAGGCCTCTTTTTAGAAAAAGAAAGAAAACCAATAGCAAAATATCCAAAAGGTAGACAGATATTCACTTCTTAAAGAATTTTTTGAATTTTCTAAAATCAATGATCTAATGATAGGTCAAAAGAGAATCAACCAATTGGGATGATGAAAAAGCAGAGAAGAGAAGGGGCAAAGTGTTCTGGGTGCCGGGACGGATCTGAGGGTTGAATGTCCTTGTCACGGAGATTGAGGTGCTGGCTCAGGGCGACAGTGAGGGGAACAGCAGTGTGCAGGACCTGGAGCCTGGGACAGCAGCCACATTTGCTGTTCTACTGTTTCATCAAAGTGTGGCTGTATTTTGAGATTTTTCAAGAAAGTGCTTAAATATTGAAGAAAAGAAAGGAAAAACTTGGAGGCTGCACAGTTGTATGCTTAATCTATAGAAAAATACAGGGGCAAAATATCATCGTTAGATGCAGAAAGAGAGCATAATGAAGACTCAAGTTTTGTCAAACTTGACTTTTATGTGAATTTGATGAAATTGATACCTACTAGGAATGAGAAAGTTCTAATCTAACAACCAGAGAGACTTTAGATTTTCCTCCTCTACAATAAGACAGAAATATTCTCTTGATCATGAAACTCATGGACGGACTTGTGATCATTGGAGGCTCAGATCCAAGAGAGTTACTATCATTGGATCCACAACAGCCCAGGGAAACCTAGCAGGTGAGGCTCTGTATGGGCGACTTCAGGCCTTTGTTGGTAAAGATTGTCATCTGTTATCTGTGTAATGAAAACAAAAAGAACATCCTTGTTATTTTACAGAAGATTGAGATCCCAGTAAGTACACTTGAGGACAAGATGAAAATTAAAAGTAATACTGGTACATTGGAGAAAGTAGTTGGAAACCAGCAGAAAGTGGCTCTCAAAGGCTAGGTTTAGGCTGGACACAAACAAGGGAAATGGAAAATCACAAAAATGGAGGACTATTGACTGCGGGCATGCATTGCAGACTGAAATCTGGGGGTCTGTGTGGTTAATCAATTGCTAAGGAGTCATGAAGAAAGGGCAAGATTAAAAAAATTTTAGAGAGAATAAATAGAAAAAGATTGGACTTGAGAGGTAATTTTTCTTTTGATTCTATTCAGTACTTCTCAGGCTTCATTTAGAGATACAACACAGTCACTGGCTTGTAAAATATTTAAGGAGCTGAAAAATTAGGTTTATGGTGAATAATGACAGAAATACAGACTTTCCAGTCTGGAGACTCTCAGGTGAATGGGTAATTTAATAAAGCCTTAATGTTTGAGAAGGACGCACAGGAGGAGGCACCCAGCAGCTTCTCTCTCTTCTGACAGACAACACAACATGAGCAGACAGGTTTAGATCACAAAAGATAGATCTAAGTTAGACGTGAAATAGATTTTTACATTGATGACAATGAATAAACCGAAAAGAAATAAGAAAATCTAGTTTCCCAGAAGACATAAAGGAGAAATGACCTTCCTTTGCCTAAGATCATGGACTGATGTTTTTTGAAATGAGGGCTACACACCACATCAGGGGTTGACAAACTTTTTCTGTAAAAGGCCAAACAGTGACTAATTCAGACTTTGCAGGCCAGTTTCTGTAACAATGCATGAGCTCTGTGGATGAAGTGTGCAAGCAGCCACAGATAATAAGTAACCAGTGAGCATGGCTGTGTTCCAATAAAACCTAATTTACAAAAAGATGCTCTGGGTCAAATGTGGCCCATGAACCACAGGTCAGTTGACCAACTCCTGGATGAAATGAACCGCACAGGCATTTTGAATCTTTGAGATCTTGGATGTGGGAAAGAAAGTGCTGGAAGCAACAACATCTAGTCCTGTATTGAGTACTGTCATAATCTGTGTTTCCCCCAGCAGCAAACTTTGAGATGAGGATTTAGGAGTAAGAAATTTATTTGGAGCAGGTAAGATATAGCTCAGCGGTAGAGTTTGCACTTAGCATGCACGAGGGACCTGGGTTCAATCCCCAGTACCTCTGTTAAAAAAAAAAAGAAATTTATTTGAGAGGTGAGCCCTGGAAGCATGACAGGGAAGAGAAGAAACATACGAAAGGGGATTCGTCATATGTGGCCCCCTGATGCGCAAGGAGCACTCCATCCTTCAAACGCTTGTTTCTTATTGTTTGAGGGTCCCTTCCCAACAGGTCTGGCCCAACTTGCTCAGCCCAATCGTGATTCCCTGGCCGGGAGAGTACCCTCGGGCAGAGACCCAGGAAGCCAGCAGCCTGCCAGGAACTGAACAGGTGACCTCAGGGGCAGGCATGCAGCTGGGCACTGACACGGTCTGCTACCAGTGCTACCTGAGCCTCTTTCTGTTCACTCCTTCCTTCTGGGGAGAGAAGACTCCTGAACAGACTCACTTACGTCTTCAAAGAAGGTTCTTGTCTGCAGCACTATTTCTTTGAAGTAGAAGCTGATATCTCGGTCTGTAAGCAGCTCCAGGATCATTTTTAGCGCCTTCAAGCTTTCACAGACAACCTCGGTGCGGGCCAGGTGGTAGAGGCCTCTGATGACAGATTCTAGTATTATCTGCTTATGCTTCTTCACCTATTTTGAAATACAGTCTCTTAATCTCAAAAATTGTTCTATGTGTGCCTAGAACAGGGTAGGAGACCTCAGACGAGGGGACTGAAATTCTGTTGGGGTCACACGTACTTCAATCTAAGAGCCACCACCTCAGCAATTTATTTGGATTTTCACTTCATTTCCATGCAACCACGAGGTGAGGAGTGAGTCAATAATTATTTGAAAACTCTACTTAAGCGGGGAGGATATAGCTCAGTGGTAGAATGCATACTTGGCATGCACGAGGGCCTCGGTTCAATTTTTTTTTCTTTTTAGCTTTTACCTATGATCTTTTTTTTTTCTTTTTCCTGGGTTCAATTTTTAGTACCTCCATTTAAATAAATAGATATGTAATTACCTCCCCACCAAAAAACAAAACAAAACAAAACAAAAAAACAAAAAAACCCAAAAAACCCTCTACTTAGATGGACCATTTTTTTTGTCCCCACTAAACTCCTTTTACCTTGTGAGGGGCTCCGGAAGCCGTATTACCGAGCCCTCGGATGGCCATTTGCCTCAGGATGGCGTTGGAGTCCCAGGCACTCTGATCCATGAGGATCAGCACTTCCCGCAGATTCCCGTGCTTCCAGAGGATTGGCTCCTTCATGAGCTGAAAATGACATGCTCCTCGCCTTTAGATCAGGGCATGGCCTCCCTTCTGGTGAGTGTCAAAGGCATCCTAGCTCAGGTTAAGGAGTAGGGCTCAGCTGCTTGGGGAGCAGAGGAGGGAGCCCTTGGGTGAGTTAGCACGTCTCGCAGGAGCTAAGCTCTAGCTGTGAGCGCCTCACGGATCAAGGCTACGTGGTGATGAGAAACCAAAGTACCTCATTGAGAAGATATTTCTAAATAAGTTCATTTGTGACATTATTTTAGATCCCACATATAAGTGAAATCACATGATATTTGTATATGTATAACTGAATCACTGTGCTGTACACCAGAAACTAACATGACATTGTAAATCAACTCTACTTCAGTAATAATATAAAAAAAGAGAAGATATTTCCCATCTAAGAGGAAAAATGCAGCAGGGAAAACGAGGTACTGACGACGTCCCTTCTCTGGATCGTCTGAGTCAGCCCGTTATCTCAGAGTTTGAAAGGATCACAGTAATACATTTGTTGGTTACTTTTTGTTTTGTTCCTTCTGGGTTTATTCTCTACCCTTCTGTGTCCTGGGAGACGATTTCTGCAGAGCAGAGGGCAGGGAGAGGATGTGGCTTCCTCTCTCTCTCCCTGATCAAGTGCCGTGTCTCTGGCTGTAGCTGGGTCTCTACTCCCAAAGCTCCCGTGGAGGGTCCCTCTTCCATGGCTCCAGCTCCCACTGAAGTCCCGAGAGAAATCCCCCCGGGGGACCCAATGACCCTGCTGGGATGGCTGCCCTCCTTGCCTCAGAGAAGAAAGCTGTGCCAGTTATCCGGTAGTTCTCGGAGGAGGAGGTGAGGGACGGCAGGAGCTGGTCCATGATGTCCAGTATGACGCCGTGTTGCCACACCGTCATGCTCCTGGAAAAACCAAGCCTCCCATTGTAGCAGAGACTATTTTCTTTCAAAATGATGGAAGACACTTCAGTCTATTTCTCTATCAGGAAAATAAATGATCTAAAAAGGAATGTTAAAAAGGAAAGAGCACCAAGGCTTAAGCTTTATAATAGCCTATCCAAGGTCCCAACTGAAGTGCTGTTTGCCTAAAGCTATTGGTTGTATCACTGTGTTTTGAGGGCTTGGTGAGTTTACGGCTGATCCCACCAGCTCTTCCCAACCCGCTTTCCTCTTTCTTCCCTATTTTTTTCCCTGGACTGTAGGTCCTTGGTGAGTCGACTGCTCTCAGTGAAGTTGCCTGCATTGCATTTTTACTTCATTTTTAGTTTTTTTTTCCTTTGCATCTAGTTCTAGAATATCTGCACGTTACCTGGCCAGTGCACATACTCCCAGGTGGTGGGTACCAGGGCTGCTGAGCAGGGTCCATACGTTGTCCCCCTCGTCAGATTCTTTGGCTAGGCCTTCTCTCATGGCCTGCGCTTGCACACACTTCAGAGTTGTCGCTGAGACCCTGGAGGAGACAGTTGCCATCACAAAAGTAAGTCAACCCCACGCAGGGAATTGTGAATCCCCACGTTCACCCTTCCTATTCCCCGTGATGCTCCCTCGCTCCTGGGTAAATGAATGTTGGCAAGGAAAACACAGGCAGCCGGTTCTCACTCTTTAGTTCTGGGGTCAAGGGGGCATTGGGATGATTTGAGTTGGTAAATGATGCCACAAAATCTTGTCAATCTCTCCTGAGAAAATAAAGCCCTAAGGATGGACAGTGCAAAATATCATGTTTCACTGATTTTAAAACAGTAGCTGGGAAATCAGGATGTATCTCGCAATGGATAGCGCGATCGTTGGCCAGTCGTGGTGATGCGGTCGTGCTGTCTGTGTATACAACGCATGGACACACATGGAGTTAGGTGTGCCTGTTTATGCTGTGGTCATTTTAGTGTGTTAGTGTAACTATGTGTGCTGAGCCTAACTACTGCATACATCGTCTTGAAAAAGGTTGATGACACCTTGGAATAAAAGGTTATGCAAGAGCAAGGAAACAGCTGTGTAACATAGGATAAAAATCTATGCCTAATAATCCTAAAGGAGCTCTTTGGATCAATATAAAATACAAATTAAAAAATATAAGAGAACATCAAAAAGAATATGAAAGGAATATATGTGTACGTATGACTGAAACGTTATGCTGTACATCAGAAATTGACACAATGTTGTAAACTGACTATATTTCAATAAAAAAATGTAAGAGCATTGATTCATGGCTAAATGGGGACTTCTTTTTTTTTCTTTCTTTTTCTCTTCTTTTTTTCTTTCTCAGTGGTATCCAAAATAATTCTGCTTCCTTCAACTGGTGAAGTCTTCGATCTGATGAAATAGGGTATTTATTTTTATTTTTCTTCTTTCCCTGGTGGCCTTGAATGTCATAGAATTCTAGCTTTCCCTGAAAGTTCTCAGTGAAAGGGAACAAAGGAACTGGGCTGGGTCCTCGAGGGAAGAGGACATAGCTGCTTATTCATTACGTGACTGTTCTGGGCAACTGCGCTGGAGCCTGGGTACTGGCTCAGGGAAGCCTTCAGGATGGAGGGGCCTTGTTTCTAGAGGCAGTTGGGGCCCTACCAGAAGGCACAGGCCTGGACTTCCACAGTCCCTTTTCTGGAGCCTGGGGTCAGGACCGCTCTGGAAGGCCCTCCCTCCCCACCAGGCCATTTACCTGCTGGGGTCTGAGATCTGCTGTCGCTCTCCCTGTGGCATCACCCGGCGCCTGCGGTTCAAGGTCGTCGTGGGCATCTTCTGGCCCAGTGTGCAGCTGACCAGCTTCAGGAGGAGGGTGAATAGCTCCGGGTATAAGCCTGTGACAGGGCTGCCGGTCGACACCACCTCATGGATCGCACAGGCCACCTGAGGGGAGAAAAGCCTTGTCATGACTAATCTTCACGTTTTGTTTTCTCCCCAGATGACTGCTTTCCAGATAGACCACACTTAGGGTTCAAAACACATTGAAAAGGGAGGGCTTATTTGTCTGGAAACGTCTCAATTCACACTGTGTTTCTCTCTCAGGGCTGCCATGTGGGGTGACTCCAGACTCTAGGGGGGCACCAGTCATGTAAAATGGAATGTTTTCCAGTATTGGGGTATTTCAACAAAAAAAGGGATGTTTTGGGTAACTTGAAGACTAAGGTGGAAATAGAGATACACAGATTTTCTTTGGGCTGATGAAAAATTTGCTTCTAAACATGATCAGTGATGGACAAAAATCACTGCACTATTTGTCCAATATAAACTGGAGTCAGTTTAAAACCAGGATATGAGGCGGGGAGACGTGTGATTAACACTACATCACCAGGTGCCAGGCGGGAGCGATCGCGGAGTGGGGCGCCATTCCAGGCGCTGACGGGATGTACAACTCACAGAAATTGCATCTATTCCAGCTAAATCATCTTCTAGTCCGTTCCCCAGTTTGTCTATTAAGGCCCGTAGGAGTTTGCCACTGGAGGCTGGGTTCTCAGCCAGAGCCTTCCACAGTGTCTTTGTGTCCCTGGAGAGGCAAGGCAGGGAGCCGATAAGGCACAACTCCTTGGCATGTGAGCTTTTCCAGCGGATCCGCTCTAAAACCGCGTTATGGCTCATCACAATTTCAAGGTCAGATGGACATGTCAACTTGCCCAGGGATAATAAGGATATTTTATTCAACAGTCTAGCTTACTGGCCTTGGGTTTGTTAATGTCTATCACGACATAAACCTCTCATATAGATGTATTATAGATAAAATCATTATTCAGTGAAGATGAGTATTTGAAAAACACTTGGAAAACCATTACTTGTGGTTCAAACACCATTTCTGAAATTATTCAGATGCAATGTTTTCGACTTTTGTCTGCTGTCTTTCTCTCAAACCACAAATTCTTGCCCAATGCCTTACAGAGTGGACTTCCCTGGGAGAAGGGACCAGCTCAGTTAGAATCTACCTGTCAAAGGGCAGAGGCTTCTGCAAAAGGTTGGCAACAACTGCATCCATATGAAAGCTGGCTATCTGGGAGATGGCTTCTAGCATGAAATGAAAACTTTCCTCCTTTTGTCTGAGGACCGGCATGTGATGATAAATTACGCCCAAGATTTCCAACAGCTAAAAAGAAAAAGCCAAATCAAACATTTTCCCTCTATATGGATGACTTGGGTCATGGATGGTCAGCATATTACAAGTGGTGGTGGATGAGTTACAAATAATGAAAGTAATTGATTCCACACACGGCTTATCTCTTGCTCAGGGCTGTTACTGACAAATTGGGCATTTATGCTTAAATCAATTTAGCAAACATTTAGTGAAAGGCTGCATCATACCAGATGCTGTGTTAGGCATTGTGGGGAATTTAGCAAGGATCAATAAGATGAAGCCCTTTCTCAAAAGGAACGAGTGGTCTAGTACAGGACCTCAGCTTTATGCCCAGAGCCCTGGGCACAAGGCAGTGTATGGCAAAAGGTAAACAAGAGGTGCACAGGATTGATGGGGAATCCAGGAGTAACTGAGGTCACTCTGGAGGGGCATCTGGTCTTAATCTCAAAGGATATAGAGCAATCTCAGAAAGCAAGGTGGAGATCTGCTTGGGGAAAGACATTCTCCCCAGAAAGAAGAGCACAGGTAAAGATTGAAATAAAAAAAACCACGAAAGTAAAGCACAGAGGGTTTAGAGAGCAGTGGAACTAGTCTGTCTGATTCCACAATGGTGGATGCACGTCAGTACACATTTGTCAACACTGAGAGTGGACCCGAATGTACACTATGGACTTTGGGTGATCATATGATGTGTCACTGTAGTGTCATTGATGATAGCAAATGTACCACTGTGGTGTGGGGTTGATTGTGTGGAGACGGGGTATTTGGGAACTCTGTACCTTCTCCTCAATTTTGCTGTGAACCTGGTGGCTGTGAAAAATAAAGTCCATATGAAAAATAGCATGAGAGCATGTTAGAAGCCAATTTGAAAAGGTTTATGGAATAGAAGAATGGTCCAGTTTGGAGCACAAGGAGAATGAGGGTGATAAAAGAAGATAACTTGATGGAAACGCAGCAGCCAGAATCTAAGGGACATTGAGGGCTCTCTTTCTGAATTTGGGTGTTAACCTGTGTGCAGTGGGGGATGAACTTATACACTTGGATTCTTGACAAGGGGAAGGGCATGTCTCTACATCTCTATGCTAAAGTAACTTTGCTTCTAGTAAATATTTGTCTTGCTGACTTTGGACAGACATTTTTAGGTTAAATGTAACATCTTCTCAAAATTATGATTCCTTTATTGTAAATATCTTGCAAACACGATTACCACAGAGTCCCATTTCAATGATTCTTGGAGAGGATTTAGGTCGCTATTGTAAACTTTTACCTAGTGTGTGAACACCTCCCCCTTTATGCTAAACACACAAATACATGAACGTTTCAAATTTATTAACCTTTGATTCTTCCATGCCTGGTCCAGTGCCTGCCACATAGTGTGTACTCAATAAATGCTTTTGGAAAAAAATCTGATTGAATAGTAATTAGCACAGAGGTCATTTCCTAAAGCCATGTGTTGGAGAATTCTTTAATTTAGGGTGGTTGACTCTGGTTCCCCTTGGGAAGCCTTTATTGAGTTAAAACTTCTCTTCCTCCTCATTAATCTCTGAACTGCTGGTATTGTTTCTGACTTTGAGAGAGAGGATAGAGCATCTCTATTTAGAGCTTTTAACCAGGCTTCCTGAATTTAAATCCTGTTCTCTCTGCTTAACTCTCCAGTTGGGAGGAAGGATTGAGGACTTTTCTTTCAATCAAGTCCCCAGTGACAGCCTCCTTTATCAGGAAGGACCTAAGGTGTGTCCGAGAGCAGCCTGAAGAGTGGCAGCAGGATTGGAGACCCTCCTGGTCCTCAGGGACCATCTCAAAGGCATGCACTCACAAAGCCCCTCTCATCCTTGCAGACCTCGCAACCCAGTTTTCCATAATCCAAATGCCTTTGGTTCAGAGATTCTTCCTCTGTCCAGAGAGTGGCGGTTTGGAAAGTTCTTATCATCCCAGCCCAGGGAGGCAACTGAGTCAGGTAGAGAGAAGCCCTCAGCATGAGCCTGCAGCCCGTCAGAGGACCGACTGAGAGGTGGTGGCCTATTTAGTATTTTGGGGGTGTTAGAAATTATGCTCAGTTATCAAACTGGCTGTCAGTTCACCTGATCTTCCAAAGTAGCTCCTTGCTCCTTCAGGGCGGCGATCATCCATACACCGCAGGCCTTCGTGCAGGTGGGGTTGAGGCTCTCCAGACCATCCAGGGTTTCCTCCAGGAACATCAGGATTTCCTCACTTGGGATGAGTTTACTGACTATCTGAGAAGGTACCCAAAAAGGCTCAGGTCATCAACCGACCTCACTTCCTACCTGGATGCCTACAACACGCTACTCTTTGTGTTAGGGTATTAGAAACCACCGGCCTTTCCAAACAGTTGGCGTATGTATGGGGCTAGAGAAACTAGAGAAAATAGTAAAATGGGACATAGACGTGATCTTTTAACTCTAAGAAAACTTTCTCTGAAGTTATCTTTTTATCATTTCATGTGTATTGAATTCCAGACCTGCTGAGGCAATTTCCTCTCAGAACTTGAGGTTATGGTATAACTCACAAAGGAAAAAGTCATGCATAATTTTTATATGGCAATTTATACGTTGAAAGTACTTTCACATACATTTCATATATCATAGAAATCAGACTTGTGTCTGCCAAAGAATAGCTAAGCTTGAGAATATATGAAATCCATCACCATGTACCAAGTGCAATGCTAAATACCAGGTGTCTCACATATCTGTACAGGGCGTGAATTATTATGAACCCTGTTTTTTGTGTTTTCATGGTTCGATATTAAAAGTAGTCAGTAAAAGATCAAGAAAAAAACACCTTTGCAAGTTCAGTCTCCAAACAAGAACTCTACAGAATGTTTGGTTATATATATAGCTGTGTGTGTATGAATGAAAAGGCAGGCAGGGGAGGGGGAAAGTTAGCAGTTTGAATAAATTCCAGGAGCATTAGCGAGGGCTTTAACCAGCAAGACAGTGATGATTATGAGTTTGTGCACACAAAAACATTCCTAGTCACAACCGAATTCCGCCTGTATTAAATGGCCCAATGATATTTGGTAGAACCATCTTTGAGAGAAAATGAGTTCCTTTTCTTAAAAATCTGAAAAGGTTTCTATGTACCTTCTGGATTAAAAAAAAATGTAGTTGCACATCCCAGCCAGTTTCTGAGTGACCATAGCTCCAAGATCAAGGACCAGACTAGGGCATCTGCTCTATGTAACACCAAACAGGTCCAAGCTCAATGGTCACATGTATTTTTCTCATATTGGGATGGATATTGGTTTAGGAAGAAAGGGAGGAAGAGAACTCATGTTTGGAGCACCTACCATGCATCAGACACTTTCTTAGCATTTGACATGTGTTCCCTCCCAGTCTCCCCATGGGCCTCTGTCCTGCAGTCTCATCACTTTCTCCTCTCTGCTGCTGCCTCCTTGATCCAAGCCACCTAATCTCACGCATGGGTTCTTGTAGTTTCCTTCAAACTGATCTCACTGGTTTCACTCTTGCCAGCCTACATTCTAGTCTCAACATGGTGGCCAGATGACCCTTCAAAAATATAAGTATAATCATGTTCCTCCTTGGAGAACCACCACGAGCCTGTGAGGAACTTCTGCAAAGTAGGAAAAGTGCCCTGTTCTCAAGATAGTCACTCCTCTCTGTTGTTGTCATAGTGACTGATTTTGTTGGACCCTATACTTCCCTCTGTGGATAACTGCCATAGCACACATGCAAATCTACAATGTCTACATTAGGAATGATGCTGCCTCACACGAGGGTGCCCTTGTACACTTCACAACTGCCACCATTGTATGGAGTGGTCCTAACTCTTCTGCTCAAAAGCTCTGCTGGGTTTTGATCTCAATTGGAGAAAAAACCAAGGTCCTTAACAAGGCCTGGAAGGCTCCTCAATCAGCCTTGGTCTATCTCTTGGATTGCATGACCCACTTCTTTCTCTGCCTCAGGGCCTTTGCACATGCTGTTTCCCCTCTGCCTGGAATGTTCTTTTCCAGATGTCTCCATGGTCTTCCCAGGGGATCCCCCCCAACCCTTTATTCCCTTCCTTTACTTTATTTTTCTCAATTATCACTAGCTGACATCATATTTTTCTGGCTGCTCTATCTATTAGGACACAAGCTCAATGAAGGCAAGTGTTTTACCTTCTTCTGTCCTTAGAGCCTAGAACAAAGTCTGGCAGATAGTAGGTGCACAGTGCATATTAGGTGAAAGAATAAATGACTGAATAAATGAATGAGTTGATTGATCAATCCTCACAACAGCTCTGAGATGGAGCTTATGCATTTTTTTTAAGATGAGGAGACTGATCACACAGTGGACACACTTCAAGCAGTGCACTCAGAGTGCATCTGATCCGACTCCAAAGCCCTGCCCCTTCTACTCCGCCTCGTTGCCTCCCTCCCCTGGAGAGGGTCGCTTGGTTCACGAGGTTTCCTAGGGTATGAAATGATCAGTTCATGGACCCAGAATTAATAAATGGTGGACAAATGTCTCATTCTGCTAGAATGGCTAGACAATTGCCTGCCTTGGTAGTGAGCATATGCAGCTTACCCATTTGGAAACCAACCTGGAATCATCCTTATATCCCTTGGCCCGTCCTCCATATCTATTACCTTTGCTATTTTAGAGGAAATCTTGATCTGGACCTCCACATCATCACACTGCAGCCCTTCCTGCAAATCCTGTAGTCTGTCCACTTCCAGGCGAATGCCTAAAATCAACAAAGGGCGACACAGGAGTTCAAAGAGCTGATAGGGGTTGAAGAGGCTGACTATGTTTTGATGTGACACTAATTCAGCTGTTGGATGCCTTTCACAAATGCACTAAAGCCTGTCTGATGAGAGGGTGAGCACAGAGCAAACACTCATGGAGTAGTTGCTGCATGCTAGTAGCTGGCTAAGTACTCTGCACACAGTGATCTCATTTATTACTCCCAGAGCTCATCTGAGGTTATTCGCAGTTGAGAAAGTTGAAGCGGAGAGATGTAAAGCCATTTGGTCAGGTCGTGCAGTGAGTAAAAGTAGGAGCATTGGAACTTGAACCCTGGTCTGACACCGATGCCCGGGCTCTTACTACTATGCTGTACTGCTGTCTTTCTTCGAGTTCCACTCTGCAGTGGGCCACCTGCAGATGGTAAAGTGACTATTGTAACAGGAACATCAGCGACTGTGTAAATGGTTGCTCATATCAGTTCATAAACACAGACTTCAATGGTAATGATTTTCCGTTTGTTGTTTGAATGAAGTATAGTAGTTGTGGAAACTCACACCTGAATCAGTCTTTGGGAGGCAGGCTAGCCCAGTGCAACACACGCAGACTCCAGACTCAGACAGATGACCTGGGCACAAAGTCCAGCCTCACTGCTCTCAACTGTCCAAGCAACTGGTAAATTTCTTAACCTCAGATCCTTCATCTCTAAACTGACTGCATAACATTCATGAGCATTAAATGGGTATTTAATTTAGTATCCCACTAGTTACTTCTATCTAGTAGGTATTGAATAATCATATTCTTTCTCTCTACCACGTTTATTTGATCAACCAAATTAAAGAGTTAATGTGAATAAAGAAGTGTGGGATTTCTTGTTAACAAAGAATATTTGAGGACCTGAACTTGGTGTGTTTCAGAAAAATAAAAAGGGCTAAAGGGAGAATCGGTAGAACACTAATAGAATTCCAATTCCTTTCTTCCTGGGAGGTCCCTCTCCGGGGCATATCTTGTCTTATTAGATAGTCTTTTAGTTCTCACTTCCTTAATTCATTTTTTCCCCCGGCTTTGGTAAAAACATATACCCTTAATGAATTATCATCCCAAATCCCAAGAAACTGTCATACTTATTCTTGCTCTGCTGAATAGTTTTTTCTTTTTGACTGACTAAACTCTGCCCCAACTTTTTGGCTTTAGTACATTTTGCTTATGTGAATCTTTGAATTGTAGTATCTGTGTTCCCAGCATCAGAACAGTGCTTGACACGTGGAAAGGCACTCAGTAAGTATTTTCCAGGTACCTAAAAGAATGAAGAGGGGCAATGAGGTATGAGCGGGCAGTAAACCTGGACCGAGCACCCCTGGCTGCACCCGGTCTGCCCACAACTGTGCACACGACGCAGGGCCAACCTCGCCCGAAGCTCCTGCTGATTTGACCTGGATTTAATCAGAAGGCCCAGAACTCTGGTTTCAGTCTGAGACTGAGGTTTTAAAATTTCTTACATTTACTATGTCTATGAGTCTATTTCTGGTTTGTAAATAAGTTCATTTGTATGAATTTTTTTCAGATTTCCACATGTAAGCAATATTATATGATGTTTGTTTTTCTCTGTTTAACTTACTTCACTTACTCGGTAATCTACAGGTCCATCCATGTTGCTGCAAATGGCATTATTTCATTCTTTTTTATGGCTGAGTGATATTCCATTGTATACACACACACACACACACACACACACACACACACACACTACATCTTCTTTATCCATTCATCTAGGTTGATGAACATTTAGGTTGCTTCCATGTCTTGGCTATTGTAAATAGTGCTCATATGAGCATTGGGGTGCACGTATCTCTTCAAATTACAGTTTTAGACTCTAATAGACTCTGATAGAATAGACTGACAGACATAGGAAAAAACTATGATTACCAAAGGGGAAAGGAGGTGGGAAGGGATAAATTAAGAGTTTGGGATTAATATACACACTTCTATATATAAAACAGATAAACAACAGGGACCTACTGTTCTCTACTCAGGGAACTATATTCAGTATCTTGGAATAACTTATATTGGAAAAGGATCTGAAAAAGAATCTATATCTATATCTATATATCTCAATTGCTTTGTTGTACATCTGAAACTAACATAACATTGTAAATCAACTATACTTCAATTAAAAAAAAAGTCCCTTACATTTTTCTGACACTGACAGTTATTCACATGTCCTCGGAGAGCAGAGGTCTTGCTATGAAAGCTGGAAAAACCTCCACAAAGTTATCTTTGTTAGAGAACTTTGAAAATCACTTAGTACCATAATAATAGTGCGATTTCCTCCAGAAGAAAAATGTGTGTGAGAGAAAGCGTTGCTAATATGCTCAATTGCTATGCGATTTAAATTGGACAGTCTCAAAACATTTTATCTACTTTAGTAGATTTTTATGATGCTTTGGTGTTATCTTTATTTTGTAAAAAACTCCAAAAAGTGGAGCCACTGATGAAAAAAGGACCCAAGAGACAGCTGTGACATAATTAAGGTATTAGAACTCAGAAATGGCTGAACTGAGAGGGGGAGAGAGAGAGAGGGAAGGAGGGAGAGAGAAGAGGAAGGGAGAGTAATGTACCAGGAGAAAAGCTGAGAACAAAAGCAAACAGACATCTTCTCCCATTCGTGGGTTACTCATCCTCCCCTCACCTTTTATGCAGAACAGACCAATAGCCGAACTAGCAGCCGCCTGGCGGATGGAGGGCAGGGTGTCACAGGAGTGAGGAGCCAGGAGGCCGAGGAGCGAGCCGATTTTAAAGTTCTCTGGCGCCTGCAGGACGAAGGGGGCCCCAAAGGTGATGGGGTGAGGGTGATGTCCCAGGAGATTCCCAACACTGGCTGTTAAGTCCCTTGTTTCCTCTGGGCAGGCCCTTAGACTCTCAAACCTACCCTTTAAGGGCCGTAGATGAGCCAGCCAGCAAAGACAACCAAATAGCTTCTTCCGAGCGTGCTTGCAAGTAAGTGCTCGCGGTTAGGACAGACCCCTCAGTTGGTTCTTGGGAAAGACTCCAGCTGGGACCCCAGACACATCACGCAGAGTTTTGGATTCCAGGGGCCTCACAGGGCCCTGTTGTTAGCAAGCAACGACATCCATCCCTTCTAGGGGCTTTCTTACCTCCGTGTCATTTGTCAGCACTTGTGCGGTGATCTGGAAAGCTCTTTCTCTCTCCCACTCTTTCTGGGAAACAAGCCACATTCGGAGAAGCTGTTAGTCAAAGAGTAAAAGTCCTCCCCTTAGTGTCCTTCGGATTCATTTGTCCAGGTCTCTCGCTCTGCCTCTTCCGGCACAAGGAGCTCGCCTCCGCAAGAACAATTTCGGGCGGCCTGGCCCCACGTGGTGGGCTAAGAGGGTCGGGCTGGGCGAGCCCCTGTGACCAGGACGAGGCAGCGACTGGAGGGCGCGTGGGAGCGCGGACGAGGGAATATGGGGTCAGTTTGCGCGGTGGACCTACTCACGTTGAACATTTCTTGACAGTCCTCTGCGCTCGTGCTGTCCCACATCGTGGTCCTCAGCAGCTTCCCCAGAGCATCCATGGAGCGGTCGTAGAGAAACTGAAATCAGAGGTGAGGATGAGTGCCGGGCTGAGGGCAGGAGTTCATCAGGCTACTGGGTTCTGCCCTCCACTCGGACCCCGCCCCCGCGTACGTGAATGTGCTCCTTGTCCTTGTCCGTCTCGCCCTCGTTTTTGAGTTTTTCCAGAGGTGGAAGGGGCAGCAGCCTCCGGATATTCTCCTCGAGAATATTAAGATGGTCATTCAGTGAGAGCTGAGGTTTCAGTTTACTGAAGGGAGAACCACATGGAGTGGATATTAAATCGATCAAGAAAACATAACCCAGAGGAGTTTCCAAGAATCGTCAATCTAAAGGGGCTGAAGGGTTCGGATACAGTCCCTGAGGTGTTGGGATGCTGAGGGAGATGGTGACAGGAGTAGAGACTGGGCACGTAGAACCAGACTGTAGTGATGGGCATAGTCAACGTGCTTCAGTTCTAATTTAGTGTGAGCTTGCTTTGCATTACTTAACCCTTTATTATATGATCTAACGGCAATCTACTTGTTTTCTTCATC